TTTTCTGTACATTCAAAATTTTTCTTACACATAGTCTGATAGGAGAATGTGTTTTCTTCACAATACGATGTTTTCTAGAATTTTCTGATCGTGAAGATATAAGCATCGCGGCAAATGCCCTGAAAAAAGTGGCCTATGTACAAAATGCGTTTTTTCTCGAAAAATTATTTTTTTGCTATCAGGCTTCATTGTGTAACATTATGATCTCCCTTAAATTTCATCCGATCGAGTTCAAAATTTTACCAGAGGTACTCAAGGTCATAGCGCAGAGGTATACTTTTGGAATTCTTTACTGAGTTATAGGGTTCCTAAAATTGAGGAACTTGGTTTCTGAGACGTTTTTCAGTATTCTTCCGATAACTCGACCAGGAAAGGTCTCAACAAAATTTCCCAGAAATCTTCCTCTGCGGAATGATCTTGAGTACATCTGGTAAAATTCTGAACTCGATCGGATGAAGTTTTAGGGGGGTCGTAATGTGACACAATGAAAAACTGGTGAGCGGCAATAGTTAAAAGCTTGAAATAAAAAAGAAAAAGTGCTCCATTGAGTTTCCAATCAGTTCTGAAAATCCGAAGCCCTAGCGACTTTTAGTTTTTATTTCACAGCATGTCTACGGAAAGCCCAAAAAGAGGGGCGGGGTACCTTTAAGAATATGCCGGTTTTTGCAGTTTTGAGCCTTTTTTAGATAGATTTTCATGCAGATCTGCATCTTTAGATATTCACCTGAAAATACCAATATCTTTAACTGTGGAATACTCTTTAATAACTGTTCTGTTTTGTCAAATTCTATATGTGACACATGAATTTCTACATACGTTAAATTTGGCACATATTGTCCAATATTCTGATATATTTTATAATCGGTTGTATCATCCGAATTTTGACTATTATATACATGAATATCGACACGTTTTATTTTCGGTAAATGTTTTAATAATGTTACAAATTCATCGATATAACATCCATACATATTCAAATATTCAATATTGCATGTTTGAATTGTAGTCTGATCAAGTATAATTGAAGAGTAAAATGATAATGTTACACGTTTGAGTGTCGTTTTCTTCTGAAAAATTACTTCCGTCATTGTTTTTGAACAAGAATTTAAATCGAGTTTATTAGGACCATATGAGGCTATTTGTAATTGTTCAATATGAATTAGTTTTGATAATTTTTTCATAATTAGTTTTAAATTATCGTGCGTTGGATTTTGAAGAATAAGTGAACGAATATTCATAAACATATCCAATTGAAATAATTTATGAAATTGTGTGAGACGACCAAATCTATCGGATATTTTTAATGAAACAGTTTGTGTTAAACATTTTGGAATAACATTTATACAATAATCATCGAATAAATGTTTTGATAATGCTTCGCTGATGTTAACTGATAACATTAAAACAGAAAGCAATTGATTGAAACGCCAGTTTAAATCATTAAATGATTCAAACAGGTCGAGTGACTTCAAATATTGAAGTATATCGAGTACGATTTCATTTGGTAACTGTTCTAATAATGATGGCATGATGAATATCTGAGACAGATTATGATCAGAGACTGTACGTTTTCTAATTTGAACCAGTAAAAATGCTGTAAAAAACGTTTACAAAACTTCGAACAAGCGTTGCACGAGAAACACTGTTTCTTTTGAATGTGATATTCGATTTTGGAAGAAAAAGGACGTTAATCGTTTTTTCTCTTTATGCAATGTAATCTTTGTCAACAAAAAAAGGAAACAGTATAATAGTGTAGCTGTGATTCACTTTCTTCTTGTAGGTTGGCATATAATATGAGTGTAAATATATAAGGTTTGAGAGCATTGACCAAAATCATTTTCTTTTCTTATGTTTTATATTATTAAATATTTTTCATTTATTTGACGGTTGCAAATTTTGTCATAAAGTCAATATTGCATTCGAAGAAAAAGTCTACAAAAGGAGTGGAGCAGATTTTTATGATATATCTACACTTTGATTTGCTCTACTATTTGTTTCTCATTTCAGTCTCGTAACCAGTCGAAACTGCGATCTCAGGTTTACTTCAATCAATTGTAAATTGTAATTTTTATTTCCTCATATGCATTTTGAATAATGAGCGTTTTAGACAAGTTTTTGGCTTTACACATAAATAATCATTTTATCAAGGAATCTAAAGACACATAAACACAATATATCTGTTATAACTGTGTTAAACATGCGTAGTTCTAATGTGATCTCTGGAAATTAACGAGTGACGAGGAAGTCGCTTGGGAAACCCGTTTTCTCGACGAACACAAAATAGATGATTAATTTATGTTGTAAGATTTGATAAGTTTATTACTTAACCCTTTCTTGCCCTATGGCACCTATAGATGCCATTTTATAAAAATTTAGTTCACCTGAACTATTAGACATTTAGAAACAGATTTTATATCAACTTAAAGCCTACCTATTGTGGACTTCAAATCAACAATCTGAATGTAATCTTTATCATAAAAATATCTTTTTTGACGTTCATACGGATTTGATTCAAACTTTTCCTGTGTAAATTAGAAGCCATAAGATTGATGGTATTGAGCGAATTGTCCTTCAGAACCGTCAGGTTTAGCCAAAGGCAAGAAAGGGATAAGGTGAAAAAGTTTATCATTACATACTCTGATCATATTCTTCCTGTTTTAACGAAGACGAAATCAGATTGAATCGAGTTGAATGCCATTAAAAAAAACGTTAGCTTCTGATCAGATCGGAGCACCAAAACAATATCTCGGTATTCTCTTAAAGAAAAGTTATCGAAACAACTTTTTATATGTCCACAACTGGCCGAGTAGATGCTGGCTTTTTCCTGAATTTTGATTTATCATGGCGCGTAGGATGTTTGCAACATAAAATAGAAGGCATTTTCCCAAAGGGGAAACAGCTGATTTTTGAGCTTAAAAAATCTGTTTAAATCGAAAATCGCTAAAATCCTAAGAAATCTCTATTTGATTCTATGTGATTTCCCAAACAAATCACACGAAATCCGAAAAAATCGGCGAAAATCGATGGAGATCAGTGAAAATCGGAAAAATCCCAAAATCAGCTGATTCCCCCTTGCATTTTCCTCATTTTCACATAAATTAAGAATAACATAAATTTTCGATAAGTTTTCTTCGAGAAAATACCGAGACAAAAATGATGCTATATTTGCTGCGAGCGGGCAATTGATCCCAGGGGAAATGCATATCATTCCGAATGCTATGAGCTACGTTCTCTTATGCAACTCGGCTAGTTCGACAAAACTAGATACGTCTCGCCACTTGCAGAAAAATATTTTGTAAGTCGTAGCGTGTTTCAGATGACTTACCGAATACGGAAACAATAGATTGTAGAAAGGTCGGACACCCCTTACTTTGTAGAGAAATGTTTGCTTCACACATACGGAGGCGTAAAAAAGCTTTTCATCTCTCATTTCCTTTTCCCTCATCAAAGTTATCAAAACTGAGAGAAAAAAAAGAAAAAAGCTCGGTGCATAGCTGTAACTGTTACACAACTGTTCTTCCTTCTTCTGACGTACGAAATATACGCCTGAACGTTTTTGTATTCATTTTCGAACAATAGGTACCCACTGTTGGGAGCTATGTCTTTTATTGATGGATGAGAGACTGAAAATTAACTTAAAAGAAGTGGTCAGATGTATTTGTGTAAGCTCGTGTATTACAAAATATATTCTGTTTTTCTTCTACAGAAAAAGAGAACTTAAGCCGCACATTCTTCTTTCTGTTATGTTAAGTTCGTTTATTGACACTAAAAAAGCATGTGTCGTTTCTTTCTTTAACAAAGAAGATTCTTGAGAAATAATGACCGATTCCAAAGAAGCGGAATAGCGACCGATAGACCGGAATATATTTTGAAACGCTCCCTTAATCCTTTTAAAAAGAAATAATTCATATTTTTTTTGTTTATTGTACTTTATTTGCCTCTTCTGCAAAATGAATTCTTTTAAAATTTTTGTTTTATTTCTTCTTTCCGTAACATGAAAAAGGTACTTTCAGTTTTATTTCTATACCATACGTACATTCTTTCAGTCTGTCATTTAACAGAAAAACTCACCGTATTTTATTTGACGCATTCTTTCCTTCTTCAGTATTTTTGGTATAACTCCGAAGAAGCAATACTTTTTAAAAGAAAGAAAAAATATAACTGAGATTGCTCGCTCAGTACCTGCACTAAAAATGTTACCATAGTCCGATGAAAAAGGAAAGCTGTTAGGCATGCTGCAACAAGAAGTTGAATTCTCTGAAAAACTAAACAACCATGACAGCCACAAAAGTGGCACAGCTCTTAAACGATGGACCAATATGTTTGACGTATGTCATGAAAAAATGAGATTTTTTCGATTTACACTTATGCACAGAAAAAGGCCGCGTAGCAAGAGCCTTCTTAATTTTAGGATTCAAATGGTGCACAATAGTAATGAAAGGTTTTTTGTTTGCGTTCGCATAGTAAGTGATTCTTTTATTTTTGGTTTTTCGTACAGTTAAAGGAGAACGCGAGAAAAAGAGAAACGTAGTTTATATAATAAAATTGAACATGTTTCATCATTGTTGTATAATCATAATTATAACATGCTCAAAACGTCTGATAAAGTAGAAGAACGAGAGCACATATTATGTATCATTGAATAGTTACTTTATATTGCGTTGTCTCTAATAATTTGGTTTGTTACAGAACTGATCACCTGCATAATTTTTCACCCCTGCGCGGTATCGTGCAGGGGCAAAATAAAATTTATCCGCGTTGCAGTTTGCAGGTTACCAAAAAAATCTTTTGTTCTGCACAGGCAGAGGCTGAGGGTGA